AAGTCAAATTAAGTAGAAGTACTGAGTATCAATATAAAAATCATTATATGGTGGAATGACTTTGGCATTTCATGTAGCATTGATATTTCTCATTTGAACCATTAGCTAATGTCGACACTCCCAAATATAGATTTTATGACATCATAATACTACATGTACTTCGTTTTTGCATGAGCATTCAATAGGATTAACTGATGTTTGTAGAAAAAATTGTCTTGTCTCTACTAACCTAAATGTATATATGTAGTTAAGAATTATCTGACTGCCTTTTTTATTAAGGGTTTATTAAGAAAAATAATCTGACATCATCCACCTTAAGGTATTTTTAAAATCATTTCACTCTACCAACCTTAAGGTATTGTTGTTCAATGTTTGGATTGTTATTTTTAGTTTCCATGGTATGATATTGAGCCTTTATAATGTAAAACATTACACGAACAATTCACCTATATGTTTCTATTAATTATAGTGCATTTAATGGTAAGTGCCATTCAGATTTGACCAATAAGTAAATTCACTCAAATATAATTATTTCACCATAGTTATATCGATCCATTACAGAATGATGGATCTATCTTTGATCGGCCATTTTGAATAACAAATCCCAATATTAAGTCTGTGAGTCTGTATAGCTTTAATAAAAGGACATATGTTGACTTCTGATATCATTTGTAATTCCCTAAATACAATATAGAGGTTTCCATAGTTACATGTTTGCATAGCAATTTAATATTAAAGCTGATAGAATTGCAATGAAGAAAACTGTGCCTAATGTGATTGCCTAATACAAGTATCTTGTATAAGAAAGGAAATTGTAAGACGGATTGCATGGATTTTGTTGTAGTAGTACACGTCATTGAATAGTATTCTGGTCCCTGTAGACTTAATTGCATTGTGAAAATTGGAAACATTATCTCTTTCTGCTATTTTGATTCAATTACTGAAGTATAACTCTCTTACAACTGTAGAACTGACAGCAGTATAACCTACTCCCAGCAGTATAACTCTCTTACTGCTTTATAACTTATACAGCAGTAAAGCTCTTGACTCACTTACAGTATAACTCATTCACAGCTGTAGAACTCATTTGCAGCTGTATAACTCATTTACAGCTGCATAACTCATTCACAGCTGTATAACTCATTTACAGCTGCATAACTCATTCACAGCTGTACAACTCATTCACAGCTGTATAACTCATTCACAGCTGTATAACTAATTCACAACTGTATAACTCTCTCACAGCAGTAACTTTCATATAGTTGAAAAAGCACATTGTTTAGACATTTTTACATCAATATTGAGCCACATCTGGGCAATGGTTATAGGATTTATAGAATTAACATTACGCTGTAGGAGACCTTAACTCAGTGGATATGCCAATAACATGCCTGACGGCTGATAGCAGAAATTCTGAGATAGAACTTAGATATATATCAGCAAAATAACCAGCCCTGGATTTACTCTAGATCTTTAGAATCGTGAATCTTAATCAAATCATCTGACGGCTAAACTGCAAGCATTCACCTTGGACTTTACACTATAATATATAGTTATCACTGATTCACATATAACATATATAATAAGACAGTATATACCATTATATTATATATGAATTAATACCAGTATATTATATTGTATATGACTATAATATAAACTGTTGTCGTGGAAATATCAAATAGCATTTTCAGTGATTGAAGAGATTCCTTATATACAGGTTTATCAAAAATAATTTATCATAGGAAGTCTATTAGTATTATATCAGGAAAGCGACAATTACTGTATTATACAGGTGCTATATTAGTACTGTGTTCATTAGCAAAGGCAAGCTTACTTTGATAATAACAAAGGATAATATACTGATGTCAACACAAAACGGGAAGAGTACGGGAGGAGTAGGATATCAGATGGAGTCGTCAGGCAGGGGTGGAGGTAGGAATAGTATTTGTGTTGTTGCATCAAGATCCTGTACATAACCTCTCCCTATCTTCGATTCAGTTTCTATCACTGTTATAGGGAATGGAGGAATATGTACAAGGTCTACATGAGACAAGAACATGGGGTATATTATAGCTAAGGTTACGCTAATGTTATGTTACTATGGCTAATTAAAATAGGCTGACAATATAGAATGGCATTGTTCACATTGACTTCAGTGAAGATTTTGTTTTTTGAAGACATGTAGTTGGGTCATATTTGGACAGCCACAGCTCTATACCTTTTTAGAGGTTAACAATTTGTCCAGTCTACCTCTTAAAAGGGAAAGACAAGCAAAATAATTTTTGAGTTTGGTGAATAATATGCCTTCATATAAACCTTGTTTGTTTAATTGTTTGCTTTTTTAATACTTTGTTTGTTGGTTAATTGCTTGTTTGTTGGTTGTTTAGTGAAACCATTATACTGCCACTGTTACATATTATTTTTATGGTTATCATATACTTAACCTCTTCGCCATTGACCTAGAGAAGTTCAATATTTATATTATATAGTCAGCGCTTCTTGAAAATCAATTAGCTTTGTACTTTTGCTATGTATCGTTATCAGAGCATTAAGATACTGAGAGCACTATAAATAGAATTAATTGATATAATTGTGAAATTGAATTATACTTGTAGGCCCCTGTTATAGGTTATATTTCGTAATCATGCACCTATACTGTGTGGGTAGGGCAATTCTTCTCAAAATAATCGATACTTAGAATTTTGTTTGGGAGTTAGACACTATCACTGACTTATACATCTTTGTTTGAGTATCGTCATGGTACTAACAAGAGTTTTCACTGCATTGATTTTCAATTTGTTATGGTAACTGGTGACCTACTTGAAGGAGTAGATTTCTAGTCTTTTGGGAAATGAATATTGGGAAAGATGGATTATTTTTACCATTAAATGAGTTTACTTATTTAACTAAATTGAGTAATGTACTGTCGACTAGATCAAGTAGAAAGGGAGAATGGGATAGTACCTAAAAATAGATCATAATTGAGAAATTATTAAATTATTTCATAGTTGATAATATTTCAAAGTGTCCAAGGCAAGGCTCTTTAATTCTGTAATGTTGTTTGAACAGTGTTCGGCAGTTGGTCTTCAATGGTTGGCAGTCAGCATTCGGCATCTGTAACAAATGACAGGTGGTGACATTTGCATGTTAATGCCTTGTGTAATTATTCTGTATGTTATACAATATTGCAAATGGGTAGCCAGGATCTAAGATTTGTTGAGGCAAAAAATTAATAGATGAGGTAGATTGAGGCTTAGCATTCAGTTGAAAAAATGTCTGAAACAATGAAAATCTTTAAAATATTGGGTGAAATATTACCTCATGTCTGGCTACACGCATTGATAGCTTTCTAAATTGACAATTGAGTCAATTGAGGGTAACTTTAGAAATATCTTATTCTGTTACATTTTAATTAATAGAAGCTTATAGAATCTGAGAGCATCTCAACAGGCTTTGTTATATTTTCATCAAGTCTCAGTGATAGGGAGTGATGCGTATTGATTTTTATTATATCATTGTTATCTTGGTAAACATGTGGTCATTCATTCTCTATATTAATGCACGCTAAATTCAATTACAATGTGTCTTGTCGGGTTTGTTTCTAAGGCTCTGTTTCTTATGTTTCACACTTTTATTTTTTCACAAAGTTCAGTTCGTAAAAAACAGGGTTTGAAAATCAAAGCTGCCTAACTGCCACAGATAACTATTTTTGGGTTTTATCGCAACTTGGAAAAAACTGGTTGCCTTAATGGGCAGGCCATCCTTGCTCCAAGGATATTTCTCTTCTTTCCATAAATTGAGTAATAAATGAAGTCCTTTAACCTTTACCATGCTGCCTTATTTCAGCAAATATATCCCACGCAACTGGCTTATTTTTCAAAGAGTGCAAAAAATGATATAATAATTAATATCTCAATAACTACTGAATGAATCTGGATAAAATTTTCACAAAGGGAAGATACAGTGGCCTGGCTCATGAAAAAAATGTTCTCATGAATTTTTTCGTACATTAACACGACTGGGCATAAATATACCATGAATACTCCTCCGGAATCCGCCGCTCCGCCTCTTCGTCTGGTCAGAATCCAAATCTGAATTTGCAGCGATCGAATGTTCAATTTTTCAATTCAGAAAATATTCTAGTTTCTATTTTCGATGACCGTTATCGGCTTCCAAGAGCCTAAAGAGCTCGAAATCGTAATTCATTTCCTCCACATTTTCGTTGTGATCGTATTTGTCCACCATTTTGTACGATTCGTTCACTAAAAACGACTAAAACACTGTTTAAATTGTTGAATTGAGAATTATTTTTCGAAATATCGCCATTCTAGGTCAACAGGAAGTCATGTTAGGCACTGAATAAATCGGGCAATCTAATTGGACAATACGAATGGCGCGAAAAAGTAAAGTTTTTAAAAGTTTGAAATCGGGCGTACGGGTCCGCCGGCAGTTGTGAGAGACGAGTCCGCCGGCAGCACGCTAAAGGTTAAATGAAGGATGGGGCAGACTGAATTTTTGCCACTTTATTTAATTGTGGCACTCATGTTTTTAACCTTAATCATGAACTCAAAAAAAATTGCTCTTACAAAGAATAACAATGTTTTTTAGTAGTAAATGAAACTTATGACAGAAAAGTACTTTTGAGATTACCCCTAAGGTAGTTTGTTGATTGTCTGCCTGATTATTTGTTTGTTTGTTTTGTTTGTTTGCTTGGTTAAATACTGTCCAATCAACATTGCATGTGTCTGTAGTATCATTTACTGGCAGTAGAATCTCTTTTTTTTTATATGCCATCCTCAAGCAAGTTATTTTGTATGTTATAGTGTATTGTTTTGTATTATGGTTTTGTATTCCCATTACTCCATATCTTTGCATCCCATGATTTTATTTCCTATGAATATCATGTACAATGTGATCCCATAACTATATTATTCCCATGATTTTTGCATCCTATGATCCCATAAATTTGTATCCTAAGTTTTCTGATACTCTTATTGTAGACAGAGGTACATCACAGGGTGGGCTAGGATATCACATGGATACAAGTAAGAATAATCCCAAATACAAGATCTCAACCTGTACATACTTGTTCCTTGTATTTTGTCATCTTAACCACACTTGATGCATAGTGTAGTCCCTCATCAAGTCCCTTTTACCCCTTTAACCTATCTCTGTAGCATACAGGAAGGGAATGAGGATGAGGAGTTTTTGTTAATGATAATTTTGTTTTCATCTTGGGTTCTCAGTTTTGGGTTTGGGGGAGGAGGTGGGGCAAAATCGTTAACCAACAACTTTAACTGATGCTCTCTCCAATTTATAGCTATTCGAATATTGGAACAACCTGCCATTTACAAAACATTCCTTGTTTTTCTTCATATTTCCCTAAACAAGGATAAGTATGACCATGTTGCTATTTTAGAAAGGGTCTTAGAATATTGTCTGTACATTGTTAGGCACACCTGCATTTAGATTAATTTACCAAACCCATTATGGCATAATAGCACTCATTTAGGTAATTACGCATGAGTTCTCAGATTTGATTTTATAGATTAGTCTGCAGAAAGGTTTCGCTGAATTGATGACTAAATTCACTTTTATTTTATTTTGAACATCACATACATTTACATATAGATTATTTTTATGTATGGTCTACTATACCAGTATGGTTCAGTATGTTGTTTATAAACAGTACATATTTTGCTTGCCATGTCCTACAGCATGTGAAACCCATTGAGTCCATTAAGATTTCAAATATAGCATTCTCGTCACTTTGTTTGAGTTCAGTGTAATATGGATTATGCTCATAGGCATATGATTTAATGTCCTAAGTTTCTGATCATGTGATCTGATTTGTCTATAAGCATGCTCCTATAAGTTAACATCAGCTATAGGTCATAGAATTAGCTCTGAGTCTCATGTAGTATGTAGATACAGTTATATTTTGTGTGAAGGCAGTGATCTCCTTAGCATTAAAGCAAGTGGGCGTAGCACCCACCTGAGATTTAAATAATGGGCTTGCACCCACCTGAAAATCCATTTGCCCCTACTTGAAAATGAGAAAAATCATGAAAAATGGGCATATTTTGACCAATGTGTGTCTGAATTGTGAAAATAAGGAATACTCCTGTGGAGATCATTAGAAGGGTAGATTTGGGTATGTTATGGTCCTGCAAGAGGGATGGATTTTGACACTACTCCTTTGTACAATCATTATATTCAGCCATTTCAGCATTGCTAATTCATGGAATATATGATCAAAGTGTTTTTGTCACAAAATCAATGAATGCTGTAAAATTATGTAAATAGCTATTGTTTGAATGATGTTTAAAGCAAGCCCAAGTGATGGTATAGTGATTGTTACGGAGAATTTTATTTTATATCCTATTCTTGATCAATATTGCATCAAGCAAGACCCTGAATATATGTATACTGTTATATATTGATTTATATATTTGTGTCAACTGTTCCTATATTACCACAGCACACCAATATTGTTATGTCATACCATAACCATACCATACAATACCATACCATACCATAACCATACCATTACCATACCATACCAAGACATTCTCTTCCAATACCATACTATTAATACACCATATTACATGACCATACCATCCCTACGATCCTACCATACCATTCTCCATACCATATAACACATCATTCAACCATATACCCTGATTCCTCCTCAACTAGTCAACTTGACTACTAATACTATCAAGGATAATTTTACACTTAAGATTAGCTGATAAGAAAGGAACAATTTCAAATATACTTTTTCTGATCTAGTTTTATATAGGAGTTGAATCCAAAGAGGATTCCTGCTATTTGGCATGTAGCCAATATGTTCCATGACGCACTTTCAGGTATTATGCCTACAGTGAGAAAATTTCCCAAAATTGTGAAAATCCTTCAAACTCAAGGTTTAACCATATCGCAGTCATGGCAACCATATAAATGCCCTGGTTCTGGCGCAACCTAAATATCTAAAAATAGCTCCAATATTACTAAATTTATACCATCTTACGCAGGCAGCAGTGCAAGTAATTATTATTACTTAATAAATAAGGCATCTTGTTATATTTATCTAAATCAGGTTTTTAAATAAGTTTTGGGCCAAAAATATATTATAATATTGAAAAATTGAGGGAGAACATATGCTTGAGGGGAATGACTGGTAATCTCAAGATCTCTAGTGTTTTTTTTTGCTGTTTGCCAGATGTGTTATACTAAATAGTCTTGCTCTAAGCCCCTGCATTGTGTAGAAGGGCACAAAGACATGATGCTAGACTATAACATAAAATGTGATGGTTAGATTGTTGTTTTCCATTTTATTCTGTATCTGACATTTAGCAATATGATGCCCTTGCAGCCTAATATACTGAATAGCTATTTTTACTAGCATTTAATTTCACTAATGGAGCTCTCTTCATAATTTATCATGTCACTGATGTTAAGTGATATATATATTTTTTATGAATAATTCATTTTCAATGAACTTTAGTGAAATCACTCATATGGGTTTACTCTATTAATTGAAATGTCACAATTTTACTTTTAAGGGAGTAGATTCGTGAATTTAAGGTAGATGAGCATCTTAAGAATTTTAAATAATTTACCTATTTAAACCTACCAATAATTAATGAAATGAGAAATGTTTCCAACATTTTTATGTACAAGGTAAGATATGATACAAATTATGATTGTTTCAAAAAATATGAAATTGCATGAAAACATATGTCATATATCTATCTGTCTTCATTAAAGGCATCACCAGGCTATATTTATCCCAACGAACGAAGTTCGTTAGGGATATAGTGAAGCCCTCCGTCCGTCCGTCTGTCAGTCCGTCAGTCCGTCAGTCAGTCAGTCAGTCCGTCCGTCTGTCCCGAAGATAACTCAAATACTAGTTGACAGATTTTCTTCATATTTAGTGGAAAGATGTATATTGGTGAATAGTTTTACGCAAAAAAAAAATTTTTCAAGATGGCCGCCGCTTTAAAAATGACGGGACTTTTTCGCAAAAATCATAAATTTTTCATTCTAAACCAAAGTAATTAATATTATTGTTTGAAATTTTGGTAGTGCATTCACAACATTTATATATTTCACATATATTCCGTGTTTTTCATCCTGACCCCCAGGGGCCATGTATGGGGGGACAGGAAAACAGAAATTTTCGCTAATTTTTAGATCTTTCTGAAGTATAGCTTTATTATACTCAAATGAAAGGCAATTAAGAGTAGATTGCAAATATTGTATCTTTTTTCTGATTCGAGCCTCGTAAAATTCAAAATGGCCGTCTAATGTACAATTTCGCAATAATTTTTCGATCCCTTCAAAGTATGGCTATATTATACTCAAATTGAAGGAATTTTGGAGTAGATCACAATTAGGTTATTATTTTTCAGATTTGTACCTCAGAAAATTCAAAATGGCTGCTTTGCAGGAATTCGCAATTCTAAAATCTAATTTTTTCATTTTCAACCAAAGTAATGAGTATAATTGATTGGAATTCGGTAATTGATATTTTGTTCGTTGGGATTTGCTACTCCGCGGAGTTGCCGTTATCTAGTTATGTAAGATCTCTACTATTTTCATATGTTCTACCTTGCATGCAGGTATCCAGGTTTGTTTTGGAAATTTAAGAACAGGTGATTCATGACTCTTCGAAAAACTTCCAGGATATGGTGTTAAATACTTTATAGCTCTTGCACAACTACCACTATTTTTTGTGGTTATCTTGTTCTAACTTTGAGTATGTATATTGCATGGTATTTTCCGTGGTATTGCCTCCTTTTACATTGTCAATGCGAAAAAATGGGACTAAATCTGGTTTACAGGGGTCAAATTTTCCTGGTTGCCCATATTGCAATGTTATGTTATGTTTAGCTTCGTTTGGTTCGCAAATACTGGACGTAGATAATAAATAGAGATTTCAGCCAGGAATAGATTGCAGATGGATTCAGACAAGTGTGGATGGATTATATTAGGGAGATGAAAAATGTTGCTCAAAACATCCAGTTCAGTTGATATATTACATGTATAACTGTCACTCTCAAGGATGTCAGGAATCCTATAAGCCATATTTCTGCTATCTGTTTTGTTTGAAATTATAAGAAAATGTTGCAAATTCTTTATAGTACTATATCTAATCTGTAATTTCACCTTTTACTCATTGAACAGTATACTTAATCCTAATTCTCTCTGTTTTGGTCAAAACATGTTACTATCAGTTCTTCAGGGGTGGATCTGGGAACCAACAAGGAGGGGGGGGGGCCTAAAACAAAAAAGTGGGCCCAAAGTTTGACATTTTGAGGCCCATTTTCTTCAAAATTTGGCCAAAGAAGGCTTAGAAGGCCCAGTAATGACCAAAAAGCCCCCCTAGATCCGCCAGTGATCTTATACTTTTAACAGGGTGCAATCAGATTGACAACAGGGTGGAAATATGTAATTTACAATCTGGTGCTGCACCTGTTGTTCTAATATTAGAGAGATGACAACATGGTGCAGCCAGCACCCGGTTGTTCTAATGCCAGAGATCACTGCTTTTACTTATATATAGTAGATATTCAGATACAGTAAAACCTATGTCCAGTGAACACCTATGGAGTAACAGAAATGTGTTCACTGTAGGTAATTGTTCATCACAGAGAGGGTAATTAACACAGAAGTCAGGAGAGTATGTGTAGAGGAAGGGTGTTCGCTAGTGACAGGTGTTTGCTAGAGAGAGGTGTTCACTAAGACAGGTTTTACTGTACATACATATTATGTCAGATATTAAAGCTGAAAGATAATTGCTTAGGATGAATGGGTTCATGTGATAAGCAATGTGTTGCCTTGGTTACAGTGATTGGGGTCACCACAGTTCAATTATGGAAGATAATCAATCTCAAAATACAGAATTACTTTCTTCAAATCTGTCTATTTTGATATAATAAAAGATTTGTTATTGTAAAGTTGAAAATCCATTTTCTGATTCAACGCTTTTCTAACATCCTGGATAGTTCGGTTAATTGTACATCAGATGTGGTTTACTTGTCTATTAACTTGCTCATATCCGTGTTATCTTGAAAACGATTCAGCAGATTTGTCCAGTTTTGTTGATGTCTCATTAACCATAACGTTGTTTGATCCCATGTTGTCTTCAAAATGATTCTACATTGGTGATCCCCATTTATTTGAGATGGGATTTGTCCTGATACAGTTTACTCTTCTTCATGGGGGAAGGGTCACAAAAGCTTAACATATTTTTATAGGGTTCAAATATATTGTCATCAACATAAGTTATCTGACTATAAGGTGGTCAACAAATATGGTATTAGAAGACCTCTGATAGACCCCAATCCCCTAAATGAAAACCTTGTACCATGGCGCAACTCAAGATGTTGATGCAGCTGTACCGAGGTGAAACTTGCGCCAAGGCCTCTTATAATTAATGTAGTTGTCATGTTACCTTATTATGAACATCTTTGGTTACCTCTTCGGGTATAGATTACTAATGTTTTTCATTACTTAGGCAATAACATATGTGTACCTGGGCTAATGGTAATATAGATGTAACATTGCATAATGATTAAATAGTCTTGCTTCAAGACCCGGGTCATCATCATTTCATGTAATGTGTTGGAGAAGTAGATAAGGGGGGTCCACAGTCTTGAAGCAAGACTAATGATCAAACAAAATATCGCGTTTCTTTTCTCAGCCAAGATACTTGCAGAAAAAACTGGTTGAGCTAAAAAAACTGATATCATAAGTTGATTTGGAGTAAATCTTTGTAAGTAGGTTGATAGAATCAAGACGCAAGCAGCTAACTTAGTTATCGTTGGTCTGTTCTCTGAGTTGGTTTAAATCTAGGATAACTCCGAGTTGTGAGTCACTTTAAATGGTTTGATGGAATATCTAAGAATATTGATCTACTGTCGTGGTTCACAGAATAGATTGGCCCTTGAGGAAATCTCTTGTAGGATTCAATAGTATTAGAATTGTTTACTTAACGAATATGTCGCCTGGATATTTTCTTTGAATTTCACACACGCAATCTGATTTTTGTACCCTTGCTTTCAAAGGATTTAATTTGAATGTATTATTGATCAGACATAGAGAATGATTGAATTACCTGAATTTGTGTAATGAGATCCCATAAATTTTAATAAATGAATTAGAATAAGTCTTTAAGTGCAAGCTTAGTTTCACTTTTATCATGTGCTTCATGTCTTATATGCAGTTAGTGCCTTAAATAGTGATTTTGTAGTGAAATAGCTTGGACTCGGATATGTTTTGAGGATGTTTATTAGAGGTGTCATGGATACCCGATTTTGTTCAGGCTCACGGGTTGAACTGTTCCAAAATTTTTCTATTCCGAAGTCAAATGTAAAGAACCACCCCTTTCTGATTTTTCTGACAATGAAAAACATAGAGAATGATTCAATAACCTGAATTTGTGTAATAAGATCCCATGAATTTTAATAAATGAATTAGAATAAGTCTTTAAGTGCAAGCTTAGTTTCACTATTATCATGTGCTTCATGTCCTATATATAGTTAGCGCCTAAATAGTCGCTTTGCAATCAAATAGCATGGACTCGGAATTTTGTTTTTAGGATGTTTATTAGAGGTGTCATGAATACCCAACTTTTTTAGGATTCTTGGGTTGAACCGTTCCGAAATTTCTCTATTCCGAAGTCAAATGTAAAGAACCACCCCTTTCTGATTTTTTCTGTTCCATGACATCTCTAGTATTTATAGTATATTCTGCAATTAAATCAATGATTTCCAAAAAGACAATGAAAAACATAGAGAATGATTCAATTACCTGAATTTGTGTAATAAGATCCCATAAAGTTTAATAAATGAATTAGAATAAGTCTTTAAGTGCAAGCTTAGTTTCACTTTTATCACATGCTTCATGTCTTATATGCAGTTAGTACCTTAAATAGTGATTTTGTAGTGAAAAAGCTCTAACTCGGATATGTTTTTAGGATGTTTATTAGAGGTGTCACAGATACCCGGTTTTGTTCAGGTTCTCGGGTTGGACTGTTCTGAAATTTTTCCATTCCGGAGTCAAATGCAACGAACCGCCCCTTTCTGATTTTTTCTGTTCCATGACATCTCCAGTATTTATACTATACTCTGCAAAATCTGCCAAATGTTATATTTGTTTAGTTCATTATGAGGAAAGGTGCCATTAACTTGCAGTACCTGTAGGTTTACAATGTTATTCCAACGCTTGTGTTTTTCTTGCTATTTATGGGGCTTGTATTCATTACACTTGTTTTCTGGTTCTGTTCATGCACTAAGATTTTTTGCCTCCAATCTCAATCCCTGAATTAAAAAATAGTTGGTCCATATTAATAACATTCGGTTGTTCTAATTTATGACATATGTTATAATTTGTGACATCATGTAATTAGATTGTTGACATCATGTATAAGGTCATAATTTATGACATCATATAAAGATGTTGTTGTAAATGATGTGATTAATGGTTGTTGTACTTTATTATTTCATGTATTAGGTTATAATTTATGACATCATGTATTATGTTATTTATGACATCATATAATAGATTATAATTTATGACATCATGTATGAGGTTATAATTTTTACATCATGTATAATATTGTTGTGATTTATGACATCATGTATTAGGTTGTTATAATTTATGACATCATGTATTAGGCTGTAATTTATGACATCATGTATAACATTGTTGTTTATGACATCATGTATAGGTTGTTATAAATGACATAATAAATTTTGTGGTTTCACTTTATGACATCATTTATTAGGTGTTCTAATTCATGCTATCGTGTGTTTAGTTGATACAGTTACTTGGCAGTAAAACAAACACACTCTGTTAGTATACCATATCTCTTAATATGTTCTGTCATAATGCTTTTGCATCTAATATGGGACTGAACAGGATATTGTCTCCTATTTTGTAAAGCTACATAGTTTGTGAAACCAGTACATCATTGGTATGTTTTGCAATTTAACTGGGACTTGAACTTGGGATCCCTTTTACTGCTAGAGGTACTTGCTCCAACACAGGAGCCATTTTAACAGGATCTTGTACTCTTTCATTAATGTTAGTTGTTTATGTTTTTCAGCCCAAGCAGAAGAAGGTATAGGATGTTGCGGCTACATACTGATGGGACTATCCTACTTGCTCATCATCATCACATTTCCCATCTCACTCTGTATGTGCATTAAGGTAAGATACATTTCCCATCTCACCCTGTATGTGCATTAAGGTAAGAAACATTTCCCATCTTGCTCTGTATGCCCATTAAAGTAAGATACATTTCCCATCTCACTCTGTATGTGTATTAAAGTAAGAAACATTTCCCATCTCACTCTATATGTGCATTAAGGTAAGAAACATTTCCCATCTTGCTCCGTATGCCCATTAAAGTAAGATACATTTCCCATCTCACTCTGTATGTGTATTAAAGTAAGAAACATTTCCCATCTTACTCTGTATGTGCATTAAGGTAAGATACATTTCCCATCTCACTCTGTATGTGCATTAAGGTAAGAAACATTTCCCATCTTGCTCTGTATGCCCATTAAAGTAAGATACATTTCCCATCTCACTCTGTATGTGTATTAAAGTAAGAAACATTTCCCATCTCACTCTGTATGTGCATTAAGGTAAGATACATTTCCCATCTCACTCTGTATGTGCATTAAGGTAAGAAACATTTCCCATCTCACTCTGCATGTGCATTAAGGTAAGATACATTTCCCATCTCACTCTGTATGTGCATTAAGGTAAGATACATTTCCCATCTCACTCTGTATATGTGCATAAAGGTAATAAATATTTCCCATCTCACTCTGCATGTGCATTAAGGTAAGAAACATTTTCCATCTCATTCTGTATGTCCATTAAAGTAAGAAACATTTCCCATCTCACTCTGTGCATTCAAGGAAGAGACATATCCCATATACCTTTCTCTGTGCAGCATCTGGGGAAGAAAATGCAAAGTATCATCCCATTTATTTTAGAAAATTGCTTGATATTGATTCTACATTGAAATCTCTCATCATTTAGCAATATATTACATTCTAATATTAGCAGCAAATTAGTTCACATTGACCTAGCTATCTGTATCATTTTGCCTCCTGAATAAAAGAATCATTTGATAAAGTTGCAACAGTTTGCTGTCTCTAGTCTACCCCCTCCCCTTCTATTAACCTTCTTCTTAGAATGTACAGTGCTGAGAATGCTAGGTATCTGTTTTTGCGCTCCCTCGGTCAATATCATATCACCCTTCGGTCAATATCATATTGTCCCTCGGAATAAAACCCATATTCAATCCCTCCCAGTAAATAACCTATATATACATGTACAAGGTGTCCATGAAGTCTCTTTACACTTAACACAGACTTGTAAATTGTAATTGTAATTGTAGTTGTATTGTAAAAAGATACTTTATGGACAGTGGACACCCTGTACTTTATACTTTAAACATACGTATATACTGCAATTATAAAGAGGCCTCATTGAAAACCTGTATTTACTTTAAACAGACTTATGTATTGTCATTGTAGAGACTTTATGGTCACCATGTAAGGTGTTCCCAAGTTGACAGGCCTGTTGTGGACACCCTGTATGATTCTCCATATATAGTATTAAGTTAAATTATTTGCTTACAGGTGGTGCAAGAATATGAAAGAGCAGTTATCTTCAGATTGGGTCGGCTTTTACCAGGGGGCGCCAAGGGACCAGGTATGCAAAACTTGTTCTAATTGTGCTGCATAAATGTATTACCCTAGGGATTTTATAGTAGTTTTCTCCTTTTATTTTGCATGCATCTGCATATAAGTAGATTTAAAAATGTCAACATTTTTGTATAAACACTTATGTCATAACTCATAATTCATATTGATAGAAATGGTGGTAATAAAGGTATTGTATTTTTGATGGCATGTACCCCTATGCCTTAATATCATAAAAATGCATAGAATTAATACAATTCATAGAGATACCTTTATGCAGGAAATGTGAACTTTTTTGTACTTATTTATTATTCTCTAGTTTTAGTGGTATGGAGGACCTAGAGATGACAAGAGGCAAAGGAAGAGGCCTACTTTGAAGCTTTATATTTTAAAAGATACCCCAAATTACTGCACATGTATTCAGCAGTGAAATACATGATGATAATTTGAAGGAAAATGATGCCATATAGGGATGTTGGATCACTCCTGTAAAAATTAATCTTAATGAGCTCATATGAATACACTGTGTTATTTCTATTCCCCTTTGCAATATTCTAATGATTGATGCAGCTACTAGCTATAGTTATTATACAACCTCTTGTAACAATGTTGATGTTATTTCGTATGGAGACACTCTAGAGCTTTCAATGTAAATTACTATGGATATTTTAAAGATAAGTGCAATGTTTTTCAGGAATTGTGTTGAGGGACCCCAAGCAGTCTAATGAATTACTTAGTGTTATGACTTTCAGATCATAAGTGTTATGACTTTCAGATCATTTGTGCACTTGTTCTTTGTTAACATTCATTTTAGGGAAGATGTTAACATTTATTTTGGGAAAATGTTAACATATATTTTAGGGAAGATGTTAACATTTATTTTAGGGAAGATGTTAACATTCATTTTAGGGAAAATGTTAACATTTATTTTAGGAAAATGTTAACATATATTTTAGGGAAGATGTTAACATTTATTTTAGGGAAGATGTTCACATTCATTCTAGGGAAAATGTAAACATTTATTTTAGGGAAATTGTTAACATTCATTTAAGGAAAAATGTTAACATTTATTTTAGGGAAGATGTATATTCCTTTGTCTTCCTCCGACTGAACCCGCCACTGGTTATAAAGGATGGAGCCAACTTTTTGAGCTATTTATGGTGTACCCATTGAAAAATACATGGATTTGAATGGAGTACAATGCTGATTTATGTGTTTTGCAATTCCAGGACAGATGCACATCATTTTGTCCTCTCCCAGATTTACCCCTTTTTAGTAATGTTGATGCAATATTTCTTCATTTTAGGATTGTTCTTCATCGTCCCGTGTTTGGACAGCTACACCAGTGTTGATCTGAGAACTATTTCATTTGACGTCCCCCCACAAGAGGTAAATTAACAAAATGGGGGAAAATTCACCAATGCTGAAAATAATGCCACAAAAAAGCTATTCAGAATTCATTTCCATAAACCCTGATCTATCTTGAAAGCATGATCTTCTACATGTACATGTACTTTTCATGTCAACAGGTCAAGGCTTATGGATTCAAAAAACCAAATTTATTTTGAATTTTAAGCATTTGAATTGAAATATGGAACTCTAATGAGTTATATTTGTCCATTGCAAGACAACCCAACATGGACATTTGAGCTTGAAACGGACAAAACAATTTGAATTTAGAAAACATGATTTGAGACATATCAGTTTTGAAAAATAGCTTTTTTGGTTGTTATTTTGCGCATTGAAGGTGCAATATATAATTGTTTCATGATAAAGATAATAAGCAATGGTGTTATCCAACTTATTTCAGGGCTATTTTTCATCCTTCCCTGTATGGATAGTTATACGAAGGTGGATTTAAGAACGGTCTCTTTTGACGTTCCGCCCCAGGAGGTAAGGGAGTTAGTTCCCAGTCTAGCTCGCTGTTGCTAGAAAACTAGAGGGTCTGTTACTCAAAGATTACTAGCTCTAGGGGTTCTTTTCGGACTGTCTGCATTACTAACGCTTCTTGTGATGTAGTTAACCCTCCATTCAAATCTTTTCTTATCATTACTATTTCTTTTAATTCTGTTCCCATTGTCTAAATCTGCATCTTTATGAGATGTGATAAGAAGTGCATCATTGCAAACTGTATTTATAAATTTCATTTATGTTTATTTCACATTTTTTCTCTTTGGAAAATTTGAATGAAGCATCTCATTTTCTCGGATTCTTTGAAATTAAGAGGGTCAGAGGTATTTATTTAATTGTGTTCTATATCCTGATTCTTTTCTAAATTCCTACACGATTCCTCTGAATTTCTCTCTATTTCTCATTTGTTAAAACAAACCATGATATTTTCTGGGAGTTTGGTTATTCATTTCGTTATACATCCTACATATTCTTTAAATCGTTTCGAGAAATAAAGAGTTATTTTGATGGAGTTAAGAAAATTGGTGTGAAGTTCAGACATTTGAGTACAAGGAAATAAGACACTTCGATCAGAGATGACAGTGAAAAAACAGTCTTGTTTCAGGCACGTGTTCCCCCTCCCCCCATTTACAGTAAATCAGCCAGTAAATATCAGGAGGGGGAGGGGCAGCCAAAGACTCAGTACAAGATTGTAGGAATGTACAAGAAAGTTTCAAATTATCTTATTTGGGCTATTTGCATGAAGACTTGAGTAACAGAACCTAAACCCGCTTCCGTGTCCGTTTATCCTCTATTGCTCCCAACATTTTTCAGTTTCGTTAGCCCACAATTACTAATAGATTAAATAAGGTTACTAATAATTTTGCCTAATTTTTTATAAATTTTTTTTGTTAATTGATATTAATTCATATTATTTAATATTTTTAGCCTTGATTTATATATAACGGGAACATAGTAATTCCATTTTTATTTCTTTTTATTATTCCCTCGCAAGCAACCACATTGCATTTTTGCTTCTTTGTATACAGTTTAGTGTCCCATAGAGTGTCTTTGTTATATTTATCATATGTATAACTATTGTTAATTATCATGCCTAGCATGTATATTCTATATAACTCATATGCTGATGTAATCTATTTTTCCACATAAATTGACATTTAGACATGATTTTGTGGCGGTTGGGTCCATATTTCAATTCTCATAAAAATTATATTTATTTAGAGAGGGGGAGTAAAGTACTGGTACATTTATGTTGGTGTAAAAACATCAAGCTTGACATTGACGACATGTAGATTCAATATGCATATAATTTAAAACAGGGGGGGTCTTCTCTGTTTAGTCAAGTTACTTTCACTTAACAAAGCACTTGTTTTTTGGCCCTGTCCCTCAAAAATGTATATTGCATGCATTGGCATTATGTTAAATGCCAACTCAGTTGCCATTTGAATGATTCTAATCTTTTCCTAAATTTAGTTAGATGGAAGATATATGGCAAAAAGTCAATTAAGTTCCTGCATCATTTTGACATTTTTTTATTATTATATTATAAAGTAATTAGTTTTTCAATGTTGCATGTGGCATATTCGTGCTGTTTAAAGTCAGTCCGCAATTAAAATTTTGCGTATAAGTGTTATACGTATGAAGAATGAAATATATATGTGTAATTAGATTATTTAAATGCATCACTTATAACAGAAAGTAACTTTAAGAGACACTTCAGCTAAAATATTGCTTTAAATAACCAGTACGCCTTTCTAATTAGTTGATTTGATGAGTCACAGGCAGAGCAAAAGGAAGATTGGCTCCCAGGGACGCAGCTTGATATTTTCCAACGATGAAAATGTCAGAATGGCTGACAGAATTGTCTGACCCTGGTTATGAATTCATAATCACCAATCCAAGAGATTCGCGCTGATATTTTAAGGCAAAATTCACAATTCAAAAATTTGAAGTGAAAAATCATTACATCCTCAAAGATTTGATTCATTGTTAGAAAATATCGAGATTGCATTCTGGGAGCCAATCCTCCTTTGGCAGAGCAAAAGTCACTTAACTTTTTCTAACTGCTCTTTGTTTGTCTGTATTATTTCACAGAAACAAAAGATATTTAAAACAGGCATTGTCAGTCAATGTTTACGGTACCAAGGTAACTTGAACATCTTGGAAATTGGCCAATGCAAATTAATACATGTAGGTCTTTAATCAAAATAACCCACTTTCCTCTACTGAGATTGAATAATCACAGGTTGCACAACCTGCTCCTCAGTAATTATTATGTCACGATTGTTCAGTGTATTATAGTTGTTAAGCCAATTGCTATTGTGATGTCACTCGATTCAAATTCAACTCAAATTAGCAAGTTTATAGCTTTAAAACTACAAAACAAAGTTCATGTCAACAAAAATAGAAAGAGGAGGGCATTGTTTGCTTTACTTTATCATTATTTAGAAGACAAATTCACCATCAGCCCCACCACGATCTTCCAAAATTTTACCTAATCAACAAAAATATTGGAGAATCTATGTTCCGATAATTGTATATAAGTGGTTGTATAAGCCAAAACAACCATTTTTAAAATGAAGTGAATTTCACCAAGATACAACTTTGTTGCTTTGTGTAGAACTAGAATTAGTAAGGAAGTCATGAACATATTACAGTATGTGTGAATGTATAATACAAACTACGAAACAAAATATAACTGACAGTTCATTCAGATTTAATAGGAAAAATATTCATGAATCGTTTACTAGATTGGTTCTCTCCCATAATTGCTTCTAGCAATCTGAGCTGATTTTGTAGACATAAATTTCGAAGCCATCATATCCTTGTTTTAAGTAATTGGTAGGGATAATTTTTGAAAAGTATTCAGTTTTTTTCTATTAAATTATGACTTGCAATAATATTTTAAAGAAATAATATAATTTAAAGAAAATGTCCATTTGTTCATGAAATATTCCCTGATTTATGCAATAATTCGGTAATGAACACTAAAATGCTACTAAATCAAGGAATTCCTTCGTCATATTACAGAGATATGAAATTACAATTTTGAGAGTGATATATTTTCTTGGCCGACCTTGTCACAGAAATGGCTAATAAGTGAAGATGTAAAAATAATCATCAAAGAAATTCCAATTTGTCCCTTGTATTTCATACTATTGTGTTACTATAATGAATTCTACCAGAACTTTGTATAAATCAAACTGATTGGCAATCAAAGCAGTGTCATGGGAGTAATAGGAAAAAAGAAAATTATCAATTCAAAATGAATCAATTCACTAAACACAATAACGTCTTAAAAACATCCTTGTTTCACAATGTTTTTTCTTGAAAGACTTTTCAGACATCATCATCAGAAAATTGAGTGATTTAGTTGATGAATGTGATAAATCGAGGACTTCATTTCTGGAGAACTTTTTCTCCTTGTACAAAGACTTTTCTGCTGTAAAGCTATCCTATTTACTGAATACAGTAAAACCTGTATGTCCAGACACAATGCTAATCTGATCATTTCTCAATGCGAACACTTTTCAGTGATATTTTTAATCTCCCATTGGCTTCCATGTTAAAGATCCTCGGAATTTGAACACCAGCCAATCCAAACACTTTTGAGTGGTCTAAGTGGCATACAGATTAAACAGGTTTTACTGTATTGTCATTCTGGTCTGCCTGACCCTATCTCACTAACTGCTTTCAAAAGCTGAGGTGGTGTATTTTCCAATAGAATACATATTCACAATCATGAATCTGGATAAAAAATCTTACCTACTATTTCTGGCAGATTCCTTGAATTCTATCTTCTGGTATACATTCAAAGGCTTTTAATGTGTGAATGGTTCAAAGTAGGAAATGGGCAATACTTTAGAATTAATTATCAATTAATAATAACCCTCTTTACACGGAGTTATATTTTGCCTATAGAATCTCAAATAATTAATGGTCCTTGTTAATGGATCATTGATTCCAAAAATACAGTTTAATCTGTCTTAATGGACATCTTTCAAGAATGAACATTTTCGTGACATTCAGAAAAATTACCTTTGATGGATGCATGGGCTTTCCCCCATAATATGATGAAATATTTGTATATTTTATAGTATGATTTATTATTTTTACTATGCAGATCCTTTCTAAAGACTCTGTGACAGTAGCTGTAGATGCTGTTGTCTACTACCGCATCAGCAATGCAACAATATCTGTCACAAATGTAGAAGATGCTGCCAGATCAACAAAACTTCTCGCAGCTACAACCCTGAGGAACGTCCTGGGAACCAAGGATATGGCAGCCATCTTGGCCGACAGAGAACAGATAAGCCAGATGATGCAGGTACGACTTCATTCCATTTTCAAATTACAAATTAATGTATTTAATCAGCAAAACCAGCGTGACTTCCCTGGATTTTTTCTTCAAGTTGGCATAAAACTTTCATTTTCACAATTTTGATTATGATTGATTAAAGCATTATAATTTCTACATTTTTTCATTCATTTTCACTTTTTCATTTTTTCATTCCCAATTCAGTGCAAATATGGGTTTTCAAGTTGGTGTAAAGAAGCCTATTTTCAAAGTCTCCATTTTGGGAATAATGCCAGTTTGCGAAATGCTCAGAAGATCACTTAATTAATGACATTATACATGATATTTACATGCACTTTATACTAGCATTTTCAACAACTTTCAACATTTACATCATTTGATTAATACAAGATATATCGATGTAAGCCCACAAATGTCATTTTAAATTGATCGTTTCTCCTTGTATTACAGAGCAGCTTGGATGAGGCTACTGACCCATGGGGTGTCAAGGTTGAGCGTGTAGAAATGTAAGTTCAGCATTTGCATATTAATAACAGTTTTGATGCGCTTACAATTAATTACCAGTAAATACCATCTTTGCACACTCCATTTTCTCAGCGTTCAGACCAATGGGAGCAGAGTGAACGAAAATGTGTACATGTATTTACTACATTTGTTTTACTTCCAAGTTTAAAAATTCTGGAGGTATGGTAATCTTGTGACTTTAATTGGTGTAAATGCTAGATTTTGATGTGAAACACATCGAAATACATGTACAATACATAATTTTGTTACTTCACAAATATATACATTGATAACATAAGGACATGCATTTCCTAGTTCATTCGAATGATATGATTTCAATATGTTTTTGTATTACAGTAAGGATGTGCGTCTACCAGTTCAGTTGCAACGTGCTATGGCTGCAGAAGCTGAGGCCTCCAGAGAAGCCAGAGCCAAGGTAAGATATCAAATGAAGCATTTGAAATGTGAAATGAAGAATTCTGTTGCATTCATCATATAGGGAGAGCATTGGGTGACTTTATATTCGGTTTATTTCTTCTAAGAGAAAAGTTTTGCTATTAGACTAAGGTCAGGTTAAATAAAAAGTGTTTAACATATACCCTAACTTTCCAAATTGATAAGGGGATGAGGCCTTATTTTATTTGAGAGAAAATTGTATTGAGTATTTTTGAAACATTTTTCATACAAAAATTGCAAAAAATCTATATTCCTCAAGAAAGATATTTTCTTATAGGCCCATAAAAGAGGGTATGTTGAATGAATTACACAGCTTTTTGGGAGCCAAATGTTGAACATATAACCATGCATACAAACTAAAACTATTTGGATTCTTGCAAAAAAACGAAATACAAGTTTTTTTTGTTGAACACTAAATGATAATTAAAATTAATAAAACGTGAAGAAAAATAAGATGCTAAAGTTTTTATATTCCAAAACATTGAGAAATAATCATAAGATGTTGTAGAGAAAAGAAAGCTTAAAAGAATGTTAAACAATAGTTATTTACTGGGGCCTAATGTAAAATATAGTGCAATATTGGCATGCAACCTTTTCAAGTTGCTTCATTAGCTGATTAGGAACATATCCCATGATAATGTTCCATCATTTACAAGTGTCTCTTATGTATCCTTCAGTTGTTTTATATCCATGTTTCATATCATATCCAGTAAGTGATACAAAAGTGTCAAATCCCAATGCTAATCTATATCTATATCGATTGACCTTTTGACATTTCTGAATATAGCGTCTGGACATTTTGACACGCGTGTACTTGATGCTATAAAATAAATGTGTTGAGTGTGCTTTTTTCTGAGTATAAGGGCCCTTAAGTGTTAGTTTTTGAACAAAATTGGTCTTGGCACTTTTCCATTGGATCCCATAGAAAAATGTGTTTTCTCCCCAAAATACACTTTGTAACCTTAACAGTACAGAAACAGAACTAATAGAAATACTAAGTTAGTGTATATACTTCATATTTTAATAAAAAAAAAAAAAATTAAGGTAATGTCCCTCATTTTCAACTTGCATCATCAAGGCCCTGTCTCAAGTATATTTAGCACTAAAATCAGAATTCTTTTTTCAAAATAAGTTTCCCGTTTGAAAGAGTTTGTTTTGTAAACAAAGGATGGGTGGTCTGTCTGTTAGTTTAAGAAATGGATTAATGTGTAGAAGTTGGTATGAAACTTTTAAAGGCCCTGCGAAAGGTGTTAAACCACTCTGGCTAATATTATAGCCTGACTTGATGTAAATTAAATATTTTCATGCTGGGACCTTTAAATCAAACCCAAACATTCTTTATTCTAGTTTTTATAACATATAGGGTGTCCAGGAAGTAAAAATACATATGCTCTAATTTTAAGAGATTTACTTGTTTTGAAATGAAACTTACATGAAAACATAATTTATTCTTCAGGTCATCGCAGCAGAGGGAGAAATGAAAGCGTCGCGTGCCTTGAAGGAAGCCGCCGATGTTATGGCTGAGAGCCCCTCAGCCATTCAGCTTCGTTACCTACAGACCCTCAACACGATTTCTGCCGAGAAAAACAGCACCATCATTTTCCCACTGCCCATAGATTTCCTGAAAGGTTTCATGGACAGAGGACCACAAACATCAATGTAGGATTGTGTCTAGAGACTGAATAAAAAACTGATTTTGATTGGTTGATTCAGGGTCATGTGATTCAAACTGGCTTGTGATAGGTCAGTTCCAATGGAAGCATTACTACTCACTAGTACAGAGAAAAAAAGAACAAAAATACATTTATTCAGACTGTTAGTTAACTGTTCATATTCAGGCTGTTTTAAAGGATTATATTCTTCACGGATTTATTATTGCTTACGACCAATATGACTCCAAGGGACATTAGCCTCACACAAGCTTAACAAATCACTTAACTCAGTGGGTCAGATCCCTGACTCATAAACTTGTATAATAGAATATATTGGACTCAAATAACTACATGTACATGTATATATTATGAAGAGAATAGTTGATTGAGTTCCAAAGTTCAGATTGGGCACCATGGAGGATTACTGGAGTAAGTCTTACATCTCGTGTGTGTGTTCTTTTCCCCTCCCTGTCAATTTCCTGACTCACATCTTGTGTCTGACGGAATAAGGGAGGAGGGGGTTGTATCATTGTATTGATGCAAGAGAAAGTTGGATCAGTATATATGTGGACATATCCACTTATAGGACTGCCATGCCTAGCAAAAAGCCTAGTGCTCATTGCATACACAAGCTTGATTTGAACTGGACTGAAAGATCGGGGCTATGAGGCATAAAATTATTCTAATATGGGATTCAATGCTGATAGCCCACAAGGCTTATATGCTACAGTATGGCTAAAAACTGAGTGAATTTAAGCCCAATGCAATATTCATAAGTATTAGCAATCACAATAGACCCTTTGAATATGTTTGTATATAAAACTTACTTCAGTGTACTTGCAACTTGCTAACGTAGAGATAAATTGAAAAAATGAAACAAAATAAAATGAAATGGTTGATAACCATACTTACTTATAAACGTATATCTCGTCTTCCATGTGTCTTGTTATCTACTTGTTATCAAATATAATAGATAATTTGACACAAAGGACCGACATTGCTTAATGATATTGAAAACCAGAATCAACTAAGAGGTGGAATTCTATACTTCAAAATGTCATTTTGAATAACAAGTAAAACTGCCACAAAAGTTTTAAATGTGTTACCTGAATAAAAACTTTTTTTAAAACTAATGGAAAAACTTATTTTTGGACAAAAACTTATTCCAAAACTAAAAAATCTACTGAGAATTTTTCTCCAAAGGTTGGCAGGTATGAAGATCACTTTTTCAGTATAAGTTTTTATGAGATATAAATTCTTTATTCTAGGACTTTTTTAAGAAAATTACATGTTACACATATAATGTTACTGTTTTTAATATTAATATTGTACATACTAATGTAGAGATTTGAAATATTCTTTTCTACAGTGTCAGTCTGACTTATTTTTATTAATACAAATGAATTATAATATTAGACCTAAGTTTAATTATTTCACTATATTATTGTGATATATATTTCAAAATATCAATCTGTACTAATAAATCACAAAAATCTTTCTAGATGAAATATTAACAAGAATCTTGAGTGTATTCTTTTTGGAAATACTTTAAAAACAATTTGTAAGAATTATTTGATTTCTGTTGTCCTTTTAAAGAAAAAAATAATCTTTTTTAAATACAATCTTGTACATATATTTCTATCGAATGTAATATATCTTCTTATCTTATGACCTTATATGGTATTTTGTTAGTTCTTTCTTGTCCCTATAGCGCTACTAGATAGCTCTTTATAAGGAAAAAGAGACAAAAACAGAACCACCATTTCAGCTTTATTCTCATTTTTGAATCGTGAATATTCATATATCAAAATAGACCTGTAACTCAAAGTTAATTACTCAGTTTAACAATCAAAATAAATATATTTTAAGATGGTTGATGATGAAAAATTGATTGTTCAAGATGCACTAATCATTACAAAAGCAACTGCTCTTTTAAATCATAAAATTGAATTGAGCGGCCATATTGAAAATTCCTTCTCGAGAAGAGGTCTTACTACCCTGCGTGCAGAGTCTAGTTAAACTACACTCTGCCTAGTAGAGACCATATTACAGTTTAGTAGACCCGTCCCCACAACGGGTACCGGTGACAATTTGGGTAGTACATCACTTCTGACCTACGCGCTGACCTTTTTTCCACCAATCAGCGAGCTTGAAGAAACATGCCAAATACGTTCTGATTAAATATGCGCATGTCATTGGTCAATTCCAGTCTCAACGATGACATCAGAAGGAATGACCATATATACAAGGGCCGATCAAAAAGTTTCTTACCGTTGGCTCTCAATTTTATAATAAGAGGAGTTGGAAACTAAAACTTTAACATGATACAGGATAGTTAGTTTGCTTGAGACTGTATGAGTTTCATATAAATTGGTTCATTGGTAGTGACACAGAGTCAATTCATATTTTCAATGACAAAGTAAGGTGGAGCAGCATTTTATATAAAATACCTGCTGAGTTGTGGTTCTGGAAATTTACCGACATCGTTTCAAACCTCTCATACGAAGGCCTTTAAAATGTGTTTTTTGATCGAGTGGACAGATATAGGAAGTGGATTGCAACAGGGGTTGAATATTTTGAATGAGAATGAATATTAGCAGAAGAACTAATTAAAAATGATTAAACTACAGTCTGTTGAAATTTCCAAAACTGCAGCTTAGCACAATTTTTTATATAAAAACGCTGCTCCACCTAATTCAATCATTGAAAATATGAATTGACTCTGTGTCACTACCAATGAACCAATTTAAATGAAACTCAGACAGTCTCAAGCAAACTTACTTCCCTGCCCCATGTAAAAGTTTGAGCATCCAACTCGTCTTATTATAAAATGTACAGCCAACGGTAAGAAACTTTTTGATCGGCCCTTGTAGAACGTCAGTCAAATTTGGCCGACGAACACTGATTGGCGCGGTGAGTTCACAGGTTTATTTTAGTTTGAAAGAGTGAAGACGAAGCTCTCTTTTAAGAAGTGAAGTCAAACGAATGCAAAGGGTAAGGTCTTACACCCATAAGGCATAAGCCTATAAAATTTGAACCAAATCTGTCAAGCATAATTGAGTTATTGCCCAGACAAATGAACAAATGGAAGGATTGCTCCTCTATATCCCCATGAATTTGTTTGGTGGGATAATAAATATCTCAGGAAAATATCACATCATTTTATGCATGTTCAAACAATCATAGAATGGGAAACATGACTGACAACGAGGTAATAAATACATATATCCAAATCCACATATCATTCATTATTCAGCATTGGGATATCACATGGCCATTTACCTGCCCATATCCAAATCCACATATCACTCAGTAATCCAGCATTGGGATATCACATGGCCATTTACCTGCCCATATCCAAATCCACATATCACTCAGTATCCAGCATTGGGATATCACATGGCCATTTACCTGCCCATATCCAAATCCACATATCACTCAGTATCCAGCATTGGGATATCACATGGCCATTTACCTGCCCATATCCAAATCCACATATCATTCAGTATCCAGCATTGGGATATCACATGGCCATTTACCTGCCCATATCCAAATCCACATTTCATTCATTATTCAGCATTGGGATATCACATGGCCATTTACCTGCCCATATCCAAATCCACATATCATTCAGTATCCAGCATTGGGATATCACATGGCCATTTACCTGCCCATATCCAAATCCACATATCATTCAGTATCCAGCATTGGGATATCACATGGCCATTTACCTGCCCACTTATAACTCAAACTAGTAATTTTAGTATAAAGCTAAAACTGAAATAATTTATTGCAATCTTCTCACATTCTTACAGACATCCTCAATACATATGTTCAACATGGCTAGTATATTATTTAAGGAATAAAGACCGAGATTTTATGATTTATGGCGTAATATATGACCGAAAATTTTATTCGGTTCATTGTTAAAAGACCAAAATTTGTAGCGATTGAGTTCTTTGGCAATGGCCAGAGTAAAATTTGAGGTAATATATTTGCCATAAATCATGAAATAGAGGTCTTTGTTACGATTCTATTATGATAAACACACAAGAAAAACAAATTTTTGAATTTCTGAATTTTAGCGATCATACATACTCCAATATAGACCAGTAAATCAATTGTTCTAGCAATTGTGACATCACGTATCATATTAGAATTTGCATTAATTCATAATCGTAAAAATACAGCTTTGAATTTCAAACTTTAATATGCAATTTTCATGATTTCCTAGGTGCAAATGAGTTTGTACTTGGTGAATGCAATCCGATTTCTTAGATCTCAAATGGCTGCATTGCCCACTTGCTTAAATGCTAGGTTGATCCCTGTGTAGCTTTACAGAAATAAATACACATGAATTTAAGAGGTACGTACCAATCTCAAATACACATGACTTTTCTTTTAGTTTAAAATCGATAAACCATGGAAACAAACATGAATAAATTATAAATGCAGGTTGAATTGCAGACAGAATACGATCATAACATCATGAAATTCCCCAAAGTGCAATCCTAATATCATTATGCCATAGATCAACATCATATTTCCGACACTGCTATTATAGAAATGCACTTATTCTTTCAATCACCTAAGAAACAAGTAGTTTCAATATAATAGTTTTATTCCTTACGGTTTACTCTGAATAATATAATCTACATGGGGCTTTTGAGGTAAGCGAAGAAGAATGAGCAATCCCACAGTAAAAAAATTGGATGGGACGAAGAAAGAAACAAGTCATTGTATTGTGTATCACTAAGGCAACGCTACATTGAAAATATGCCAAAATGAATTAAATTTACATTTTGAAAAGAAAAAGAAAAAATTTCTGCAAGATCACACAAACTCCAACGTCACTGTAAGTTTCTAAGGACAAAGATGGCAGCACTGAGTAAGGTCCTATCTTCTGTTATTGAGGTCTCTCGTATTTAATGTTTTATTCCATCTGACAAATCTCATCTGAAATCCCTGAATTGTGACTGGTCTATTTAGGTGGTTGAGGTGCAGCACCAAATAATCCGCCTCCTTGTTTGCTGGCAGCCCTGGACGGAGCAAATCCAAGCATCTTCTGGATGTTCTGGAATCGAATAAATGTAATTTGGATTTTGATAAGGATTCATAGAAAGTGAGGAGGGGGCAGATAATGATGAACATTGTTACTTTGTGTTAGATCCAAGTTTGGAACATTTAGGTTTTTTTTTTTACAAATAGTTGTACTGTTAAATGTTTTGCCGTGTTTTAAAATACTCAGATATTTCCCTTTATGGTGATACTTGTGCATAGATATTAAAAATCATTTTATGGGCTACATAAAACATCGAAAAGGCCTTTGCTGCACAATGAAGACAAGAATACATTTATCTTTTCAGTTTAATGTTCAATTTTTAAAAAAAACAGTTAATTTTGTAATCAAGCAATTATTTTTCCAGAAAATCATACATAATTGATAATTTCATTTTGAAGTTTCGAAATGTTGATTTAATGCCTTTCATTTTTAACTGTTCAAAAACCATCATTCTTCACTAATCATCAATGTCATTTACCCCCTCAGGACAACAAAATTACTTTGTCACAACTGTTCACATTTGGACACCAACCCTTACCTGTCTAATGGACATTGTGCAAAGAATGTAGAGAAATATAAAGCTGCAGTGAGTGTAGTCTTCTCCCAATAGGTTTCTGTGTGAGATGTTCTGGAGCCATGAGATCGGCACAAAGGGTAGTTTAGCAACAACTCTGCCATCAAATCTGCAAATATTCACCAAATCATGAGATCAGCACAAAAGGTAGTTCAGCAACCACTCTGACATCAAATCTGCAAATATTCACCAAATCATGAGATCAGCACAAAAGGTAGTTTTGCAACCACTCTGCCATCAAATCTGCAAATATTCACCAAATAAATGTAACTTGTAACTTGACACATGCATTATCTGTAAAATGGTAATTTTGGGATGATTCTGACATCAAATGAAAGAGGTCACACCAAAATAGAATGTCTCATTTCATGTGTTTTTGTGCTACATTATAGGAATCAGTACATGTGTTTTGAAAGCCCTAAACAGTACTTTCTTATTTCAAAAAGAACAGTCGAAAGCCATTACATCTGCATTTAATTCAATTCCAATCCAATTTAATTTACTTCATAATTCCCTTGCTATGCTCATTTATGCAGATATCAATATTTACTGTAAATCTTCCATCAATCATTACAAATGATATCCTACTTAATTTAATATTCAACTCGCTCAAGGTTATTTTTCAAAAACATGTCTCGGACAGCAGGTACTAAAGAAAGGTCAATTTTGAGAGCATACCCAATGGCAGATTGATATGGGCTAATGAATTAAAACTTTAAATGAACAGTTGTATCAGAACTTTCATAACTTACATAGAATTGAACATGCCCAATAGAGCAGTGAATGCAAACCCAATCGCAAACATAGACTTCATCTTGACGAGAGAAAGATCTCTGTTGTTGGCCTTGAGCCTCTCTTCCTGTCTTTCTACAAAATGTAATATAAAATGATAAGCACAGGTTGTTTCGGAACATTTCAGCAATTTTATGAACATTTTTGTCATCTTAACTTTGCATTATACATGTTATACATGTACATGTTCAAGTATGCATGAAAGAACAGAATTTGCTTAAGTTATTTAGTTCATTGATTTGCATGGGTTTAATAACTGAATGAAATAGTGAGAGCAGAATGAATATTGTCATTAGCACTCTGTTAAGTCTATATCTTAAATTAATGCCAAGTTGGCTTACTCTAACTATACTTTATTCATTTATACACTTTAATTACTTTACCTATTTTCTTTTTCTTTACTTTATCATTGGGGTTATCACCACCAGATTCTTTTTGTTTCTCCACTGAAAAAAGATGAAACTCAATAATTAGGTACAGTACATGTATGTTCAATGTTGCTCATTTGATAGTTTATGTGCACACAAAAAATACAGAATCTGAAAGCGATAAAATGCTTGGATGAATTGAGCATTTTTTTTATTTCTTGAAGCTAAATATCCATCTCATTACAAAAGGCGGATTAGTCCTTTAATTAATTAAAGGCACAATCGGTCTTTAACTACACTATTTATGGTCCAAGACGAACATACAACTGACTGTGACAATTTATTCTTCTTCTTCAATGTTTCACATATTTACTACTATTCTGTTACAGTACTTACATTTTTTACTCTGTTTTTCAACCTCCATTTTTAATTTCTGGTATTTTTCTGTTCTGTACACAAGGAGCCATGTCATCCCTACAAATAAATATTAATGGTATTGCATGTCATATGTGTAATATAAATGATGTCATATGTGTAATATAAATGATGTTCCACCTGACGATACATGTAAGTGTAGATTGCCCTCAAGATATAACTCCATCAACTGACATTGCAGGAAGACTTCGACAATGCATATCAATCCATGTAGAATTTATATGTTTTCACTCCCTAATATAAACAAGGTATTAACATGCAAAATGTCACACCACCTGTCATTTGTTACAGACACCAAATGCCCAACACTAACTGCCAAACACTGAACACCAAACACCATCCAAAAAAGTTGGATACTATAACAATATGTCACCATTGTGGTGGTGGTGGTGACATAAAAATGCAATTTATAAAATGCAATGTATAGTGGATGATGGGAATTGACAAAAACACAATATTCATTTTAGCCCTACTTTTAATGGATGAGGTAAGGGTTCTTCATCGAACTTCAATGTATGGGGCTATTTTGTCCTGAAGCTATTTTGACCTCATGGCTATTTTGATCAAGGCTTATAATTTCCTATCATGTAGTCCGCATGTTTGATTTTTGAAAATTCAAAAGATGAAACGAAAGATGAAACAATCTTCTTAACGACCCTGTTGCTACTACAGCTCAGCTATATAGCCGTATGTCTAGACTGTATCCTTCGTCTGAATAAATTCAGACTGTAAATCACCTATTGTAAAATGTGGTGTTGTATAAATTTTACAAATAAGTTTGTATTATTATAAAATGATTACTTTATAAAGAACTTAAAATATTATTTTTACGTATATTGTCCTCTTACTGAAGATATTCATAAAATATACAGACGCTTCTTGCAGCGAAGGCATTGATAAGGTCAAGCCATTTTGGCAATTCCACTTCTCATGATAAACGAGATTTAACTAGTGTAATCAGTCTAATAACTCGTGAAGCTGTAAGAGAAACATTACGGAAGCGTATTTATAAATTCAATTGGTGTCTCTGTAAATATCATATTATGATTCTCTTAATTCAGTGTTGGCTGTTAGTTATTTATTAATAATATCCAGATCGATTTTCATCATTTATAGTAAATAGAGCAGGAATATTCTTGAAGAAGGCCGAGCTAATCAAGTGGTCATGTTTTTGGAGTTAAAAGTCAAAGTTCAAAAATTTGCAAATCTCGTTTGGATCTCGTGAACTCAAACGTCCTTGACATTGGTTGCGCGACCTACTTATTGAACACATCCAGAAGTTTTGGTGAGTCTGAACATTTCATTATTTTTATCAACTTGTACATGTACCTGCCTTATACAAATATTTTTACTTCTAGTTTAAGATGAACATCTCTTCAACATATTCACCAATTTTCAAGGTGAACATCCTTGTAATAAATGAAAAATTTGTGTGTACAAATTATCGCCGAGATTTTCATGCGAAGAATATCAATCATAACAGACCGAATGTTGTATTTGGTCTGTTGGATACATACAAGTCAAATGTCTCTATCTGGCTTGTTAATCATCTACAGCTGCCGGAAAGCATACCTGGGTCATAACATTTGTGTCAGAAGTGGGATACGCCCATGACAAAGTAACCCAGTACGTCGAAAATCAAGTTTTTTTATACATGTTCCCAGGGCTTATAAATATGTTGGACAATGGGCTAGACTATATCCTCTAGTCTGATATTTTTTGAAATTTGGTTGAAAATATTCAGACTAGAGACGACATATTGCCAGATGTGGTGTTTCATGAATTTTGATAAAAGATTGTATAATGATAATATGAATACTGAATAAAGCACTTACATTCTTACTTTTACTTGTTTTGTCTTATAACTGAAGATATTCATAAAACTTTCAGACGATTATGGTTGATATCAATAACCGCCATGTTTGTCATTCTCAATTCCCAGTATGCAACACGATACGAGATTTCACTAGTGACGTCATTATGTTTGTAAACAAATCACACGTTGATGGGCGGAGCATAGTTCCGGAAATGCATTTATGCAAATTTCTGTGCATATCACTATTCGAACGTGTTTCTGGATTACGTCATATCCGGTGAATGGGGCGGAATGATAATGAGGAGGCGGAGTTTCAGAGTTGGTCACAATTGTTTGAGGTTAAACATCAGAGTTTAAACATTTGGAAATCTCGTTTATATCTTGTGAACTCAAACGTCCTTGACATTAGTTGAATTGCCATTTTGAAACTAAACTAATGAAAACAGGTGAGTTGAAACAATTTATTGTTTTATAGCAAACCGTAGCCGTCTATTGCTAATAATTTAAGGAAATGTTTAAGATAAAGGCATAAGTAATACATGTACAAAATTTCATCTTGAGAGAACTTGTAATGAAAGAGAAATTAATGTGCACAAAATTTCATGGAATTTCCAACATGAGCCAAATGAAGATCATTAGACCGAATTCTCAGGATATTCGGTCTATTGGAAATAGACTAGACCATGGGCTTTCAAAAGTTATCTATTGAATTCCCATGGTTGGACACACGTCCAAAACGAACAAGTTACAATTGTATGTGATGCAATGTGATGTTGGCTTCCTCAATATATATGTTTAGTTTAGCACTTAAGCTACGTTATCGTCAAAATTTGAGTCAAATAAATGAAATGTGGGCGATAATGTGTGATTTAAAATTTTTAAATTTTGAATCCTCATTTTCTCCACAAATCAAAGATCAATTGTAATAATATCATAAGTCATGATGTATAATACATAGATGTTTTAGAAAAAATGTAATTTTACATACCTTCTCCAAGAAGAGCAGTGCAAATGGAGATAAAAACGATTAAAAGTGTATCCGATAACATTTTTGCAGGTGTTTGGGGCTGAATAATTACTGCCGTACGATTTGCTTAGATAATTCAAGATATTAAATCAGTTATAAAACATCATTAAAATATAAAATATGATTTTATAGATTTGGTAATGTTAAATAGTCATTATATTGCAGTTAGTTAATTTTATAAGGCTTTCATAAAAGTTTATTAATTAAATTGTATACGGAGTGAATGATGGAGCTGGACAGTCTTGGCAACGTTGTAGTTGCAACTTTAGATGAAAAAAAAGCACCTATCAGCGTGAGTAGCATTTACAAAATATGCATGTTTTATCAGAACATACCTATGTATGCCTTGGACCATGGTGATTTCAGCTTTGAGCTTAATTCTTTGCATAAAGCTGTCTCAAAAACAGTCATAAAATAGGTCTATATTTCAATTTAAAATTTCTAAAAATCAATTATAAATTTTAATTTATTTCGATGTAGGTTACCTTGAAGCCGAATATTTACTTTTATCTTAAAATATACCAAACGGGATAGGCTGCATTTCTTCTGAAGCTGTCATCATAACATGCATATCTTTCATATAGTCTACTACATATCATATATCCATTGGCGTACCCCAGTTCCAGGTTGTGGTGCACTCCATTGGGAACTACATGTATATGTTGTGTGTTGGCATATAGGCATGTTGCGCAAAACTTGTTATCTGAGATTAATTTTTAATTTTCACTGATAAAATTCTTTGTTATTGTTTAAATTAAAGCATATTTCAAAGGAAAACACTGATATCGATATAACTACAGTTGGGGACAAAAATAAATGACAGGTCGATTTTCGATCACCATTTCCTAATTATGGTGGTCTGAAAGCCCATAATTTCCAATATTGTCTAGATACATATCCCTTAAAATTTGTATATTTTACATTTTGTATAATCTCATCCACTGATTTATGGCCTCTTGTAAATTCTCTTATTTTTAACATGGGAAATCCTCACTTCAGCAAATCCACCTGTCATTTATTTATGTCCCCAACTGTATATGTTTTTTCCTGAATTTTCATTTAATATAATCACTTATAGTAATTGCCACTTCTATGCCATATAATAGAAGTTTAAAATACAAATTTCGGCTCGATTATTTTTATACAATCAATGTCATGTTCCCGGGGCCTATGGCGCACTCCCTCTTTGAGCCAATCATTGGGAATTTTAATGGTACGGAGGAGACTCAGAGAAAAGAAGAATCATGCTCTGGTGAATGAGGTGGAGAAGCTAGTCTTCCACTGCAAGCTCAGTGATGATGGAGATTGTTTTTTTAGATGTACATCAGGGTTCTCACCAGGAAATTTTTAGACTTCGGAATTTTCGCGATATCGCGACTACTCCTCCCCAGTGTGAGATCAGAAATATCCTTAAAATACTTTACAAAATACTTCTCAAGATTATCTTCCTATTTTAATTACAATATACATTGTTTGTATCCAGTTTTACCACAAATAATGTGGCAAAAATGTAAAATTAGACTCCGGAAAAAACACTTTAGATTTTGGAAGATTTGTCAAAATTGTGCTTGATTGGAATTGAGGAAAGTTGGCAAATCTGTCAAATATTTCAAATACAACATTTCCTTACATCTATGTCACATTCTTATATCTTATATGTTTTAGATTAAAAGTACTCATACCATGAGATAGCCTATATAAAAGATGTTTGCATGTCTCTCTGGTACCATGTAATAGTTCTGTACTTTTCTAGCATTGTGAAAAAAGTTAGTTTCAGTCTTATTAATAACTTCAGCCCATCATTCCCTTTTACCCATAAAATTGGTAGATGTACTGCAAATGGATGTAACTTTGGATACACTTTAAAATGATATATGACCATACTATTGGTATATGTCTGCCTAGGAGGGTGGGGGCTCTCATACTTTCAGGACACCCTGTACATGTTTAACATTTTATTAATGTAATTGACTTCAGATCGTAGTAAAACAAAAAGATGGAAAATGTTCTGCTGAAGAAGTATTCAAGAAAGCTTGTAAAGCCTTAGGTAAGTGTATGTCTCATGCTAGGGAAAACTCTATGATAAACTATCTGCCAAATATTACTGGGAAATTATTGTATTCATGCAAACATGTAAGTCTATAGACTTATCTTGGTAATATTTAAACAAGCGCTAAATCAACCAACTTTGATTTGTGTAAAGTTAGCTTTGGAGCTCTTTACTTTGTAGCTGGTAAATAAGTTATTTTGGGTTCTTGGATGTAATGCACTATATACGATCTAACTTCTTAAGAATAGACCTCTTTAGCTATTAAATAATTATGAATCCAAATCGGATAGTCAGTTTTTGACAAGGGGTTCACTTTTCAAAATATTACATGATTTTGAAAGGGTATTAGGCCAAGGGGAGGGGGGTCAGTCAAATTTTTTGCATTTTTATGGTCTGTTGACTAACGATATAAAATTGCACTATGGCTATACCACAGGGGTACCAACTATATGGGACGTATCGAAACCACTACGTCCTGCAAAACCATTATTTTGAATTTTAAACCAACCAGGTGTTCTAATAAGTTTGAATAAAAACGGTGCAGTATTGGACTCACAATCCTTGATTTTCAAACACCTGGTATGTTTAAAATTCAAAATAACGGTTTTGCGGGACGTAGTGGTTTCGATACATCCCGTATAGTTGGTACCCCGTGTATATATCAAAAACAAACTGTTATCAAAATGAAATTACTATAAAGCCTTTTATTCATTAAAAAGTTCATAGAAAAGTCATATTAATGGCAAAGAATTGTTTGCCTTTTACTAACAAAAATATTTTAATTTTGATATCTTTTGTTTCAGGCCTTAAAGAGAAATCTACAAAATATTTTACCCTTTTACAAGGTAGTGCTTACCCTATTAAGAAGTTTAACCATACAGATGAAATTGATTGCAAAATCAAAGGTATTTAGATAATAATATTCCATCAATACAAATGCTAACAATTTTAAACAATGAATAAGATTTCTTTAAATATTAGAAGCTGTATCATGTGTTAAAAATGTTTTTATTGATTTCACCAGTGAACATGAAGGTGAGGAAACATTATTTCTGTATGCATGCGCATTATACATTTAACAACATTGTAAACATAGATGCGATAAAACTATTTTGTTATGGTTCACCCCTCCCCTCTATAAATAAAATTAAAATTTGATGATCCGCATCCACTTGAGAGCTCTTGAACATGAACATTCTAGTCTAGCAAAAAACAGGATTGAGTTATTTATACTTTTATTTACCGCTTAAAAATAATAACTTCAAAAGTAAAAAATAAGATCAGTAGAAGATTCTCACTTTCTGTGAAAGATACCAATTGAATAAACAAACCTAAATATAATTCAAGTTTTGTGCTACTTTCCAGATCTGACCATCCAAAAGTGGTGTTTTGATCAAGCTGCTGAGAAGTCATTGTTAACTAAAGATGAAATTGCACTTCATTTGGTGTTCATTCAGGCACAGAATGCAATTAAAAAAGGTAAGGCTCAGTTGTTGATATACGAATAGTGACTGTCATTGAGGGGAATAGTATAAATTATTCCTCAAAAGGTATATCCTCTAAAATGTATTTTTCCTGAAGTAGCAGGCTTTCAAGTTGAGGAAGTATAACTTTCAAATGGAAAAAGTAATTCTATTTTATGACATATCACTACGGGCCCGTAGCCAGGATTTGCCAAAGGGGGGTTCATTTTTCAAAAATTTCCAGGGGGGGTTCACATTTGACAGTTTTGACCCAAATATGGCTAAAATCACTTGAGAAGTGCTCAAAATGGTGAAAAACTGCATGATTTTGAAAGAAATTTTGGCCAGGGGGGGGGTTCGTCCGAACCCTGCGAACCCCCCCCCCCCTGGCTACGGGCCTGCACTATGTATTCACCAATCAGGATTAGTGTTACATATTGGGTATATAATAATAATAATATACATAATATATATAATGACACAATAGGGTCAGATACTTCCATGAGGCACACTTAACTTGAGTACAATATTTTTGCCCTTAGAGTTAATCGGTGCCTGTCTTGCTATTGACACATAGCAAGGCAAGGTATGTCTGATTCCAGCCAATCGGAATACAGTATTTCATATAACTGCACTGCATTATATAACCAACAACCGCACCCTAGGTCATTCGTTGAAATGTTGTCAAGGTGACAACTTGACTCTACAGATTGAAATTGCTGCTGAGTCCAGGGCTTAAATCCTTAAAAAGATTATTTACTGTATTGTTTTAATTTTCAGGATTCTTGAAATGTACCTCAGAGCAGACACATAAACTAGAAGGTATACACTGTCTAAATATTATTATATTATATGAATAAATTGTCTTTTTTAATATTAATGTAAATTATAAATTAATTATTAATGTTAATAAAACTTTGAACCCTTGAATTACTTTTTCCAATTTAAAAAACAGAATAAAAGTGCACTAATTATATGACAAATACATTGATTATATTCTGTTTCTAGAATTTTTAGACCCAAGCTTCCATCTTGAGAATCAGTATGTTGCCCTGTGCCAAAACCTGAGTCTGTATAACCATGCTGTTATTTCACCTTGCTCATTATGTGTCACACTCCAGACACAGAATATAAAGGTAAATATTACTACTGTACTATGTTGCACTGTGCCAAAACCTGAGTCTGTATGATCATGCTGTTATTTCACCTTGCTCATTATGTGTCACACTCCAGACACAGAATATAAAGGTAAATATTACTACTGTACTATGTTGCACTGTGCCAAAACCTGAATCTGTATAACCGTGCTGTTATTTCACCTTGCTCATTATGTGTCACACTCCAGACACAGAATATAAAGGTAAATATTACTACTGTACTATGTTGCACTGTGCCAAAACCTGAGTCTGTATGATCATGCTGTTATTTCACCTTGCTCATTATGTGTCACACTCCAGACACAGAATATAAAGGTAAATATTACTACTGTACTATGTTGCACTGTGCCAAAACCTGAATCTGTATGATCATGCTGTTATTTCACCTTGCTCATTATGTGTCACACTCCAGACACAGAATATAAAGGTAAAATGACATATTACTACTGTACTATGTTGCACTGTGCCAAAACCTGAATCTGTATAACCATGCTGTTATTTCACCTTGCTCATTATGTGTCACACTCCAGACACAGAATATAAAGGTAAATATTACTACTGTACTATGTTGCACTGTGCCAAAACCTGAGTCTGTATGATCATGCTGTTATTTCACCTTGCTCATTATGTGTCACACTCCAGACACAGAATATAAAGGTAAATATTACTACTGTACTATGTTGCACTGTGCCAAAACCTGAATCTGTATGATCATGCTGTTATTTCACCTTGCTCATTATGTGTCACACTCCAGACACAGAATATAAAGGTAAAATGACATATTACTACTGTACTATGTTGCACTGTGCCAAAACCTGAGTCTGTATAACCATACTGTTATTTCACCTTGCTCATTGTGTGTTACACTCCAGACACAGAATATAAAGGTAAATATTACTACTGTACTATGTTGCACTGTGCCAAAACCTGAATCTGTATAACCATGCTGTTATTTCACCTTGCTCATTATGTGTCACACTCCAGACACAGAATATAAAGGTAAATATTACTACTGTACTATGTTGCACTGTGCCAAAACCTGAATCTGTATAACCATGCTGTTATTTCACCTTGCTCATTGTGTGTTACACTCCAGACACAGAATATAAAGGTAAATATTACTACTGTACTATGTTGCACTGTGCCAAAACCTGAGTCTGTATAACCATGCTGTTATTTCACCTTGCTCATTATGTGTCACACTCCAGGCACAGAATATAAAGGTAAATATCTAAACGTGTATTAGTCTTGCTAAAGCCCTTGTGAACCCCATCCCAATACAGACCTCTTCTTGAAGAAGATATAAGGAGGGGGGTTCAGATACTTGAAACAAGACTATTAATTACAAGTATATTAATGTTAGTTACCACCAAGATGTGGTGACCTATTGTTATAGCAAGCTTTTTTGATATGGGAGGTTGGCATCATGAATCTGTAAAACAGGGTTACATTTTACTATAATTTTTTGAATATGTTCTGAGATTGTTAATTCCTTTTCTATAGAAAGACCACAATTGTTGTTGGTCTGCAGTGTGAGTAATATGAGATGCAGATTTGGAGACAATTTGCCACATGTACATCAAGGAATGATTCATTTACTGTACTGCAGTGCATACTCTCATGTTTTCCAGATAGATAAAGACATTAAGTTCACCTTATTAGTAGGACTCAAGGGTCTTGAACTATGCACAGATACTCAAAGATATTGGGTAGCATGGCCAAATATCAAGTCATGGTTCAGGGAGAAAAAACAAGAATCTATAGGTAAGTTTTCTCAGGCCTATGCTTGATTTTTCAGGCTTATGCTTGAATAGTCTCTTGATCATTTTTTGTCAATTTCAGTTCAATTTTTCTCCAATAATTCATACTTTCAAAACGTTCATGTATTTTTAGTTGTTTTTAAATATTTTCATGATTCCAGGGTACCAGATGCAATCAAATGATGGGGTGGTCCATTTGCTTCACTTTGCAACCAACCAAGCACCTTATTTGTTGGCGGTTACTATGGAGATCATCAAGGTTCTACAGGTAAATACTTCATTTTGTTTTCAGTTTCCATGGACATTAATCAAAGTTATAAGGTAAAAATCTCATTTTGATGTCCCTTATCATAACGTTAAAGTGATACACAAAAGTGAAGTGATATAGAATACTAGTAGTAGCCTGCAAATGGCAACTGTTTTTTGGAGATCAACTTTATTGAATTTGGTTTAAAGAAGTGGATTTAGGAGAAATATTATTTATTTGAAATAAGTTGATTAATTCTGTGTGACATTTATAAGTATGGTACAATGTGCAATGGCACAGTAGCTTTCGTTTGTCACTAGTTTTAGAGAAAATGCTTCAGAATGCATAAGAAATGACATATTGGTGGAAAAGATTCACAATTTCAATGCATCATACTGGAGTTTCTTGTGAATAGGCCCATGGGCTTTCATTTGAAAGAGGGCTGTATGAAAAAGTATTTTTCCCTCTTTATCAAGGGTGAAGGGCGTTCATTTAAAAGACTTCTTAATAAACGCTCATTGGGCGAAAACAATTGAGAAAAGGATTGAAATTGCTTAAAACAGAAGTGGGAAACAGAACAGGGAATTTGGGTAAACTTGACGTGATGTCGCAAAAGATGACAAAAGGTTGGTCAATGGTATCGCCCACATTCATGATATTATTGCGTGAGTATGATGGCCATGTCCCAACTTTGCGATCGATGATATCCCTTGAAATAAACGCCCACTGGCTTGGGAAAGCTATTTTCCCTCTTAATAAATGCCCACACCCATTGGAATAATGTCTTAATAAAGGCCCATGGGCGTTTATTAAAAAAAAATCAAATAAACGCCCTGTGCAAAATAGACGTCCATGGGCCTATTTGCAAGAAACTCCGGTATAGAATTCCTGATTTTTTTCAGAGGGAACAAGATGAACACATCTTCATGGAGACATCAATGGTGAAAAAACATGATGAAGTCATGACCCACTGGGACAATAGTTTATTTAATCCAGATATGACCAAGAACAGTGTACAATCCAATAATGACTCAGGAGCAATTAATCTGGCTCATATAGATGACATAAAGGCTCAGTGATTTGATATAATCCTACACTTAGTGTACTATAGTATAATAACATCAAAAAATAAATTTGATATCTATTGGCAAAATGAATAACCAGAGGATATTGCTACAATATACTCAGGAAAACCAATATGCGGAGGATATTGTGACGATTTACTCTGGGAAACCAATATGCGGAGGATATCGTGACGATATACTCCGCTTGTTGATTTCTTGCCAAATTGAACTACTTGACAAGAAATTTATTTTTTATTTTTCAATGATATTAAACATTTAGTACACTACTAGTAAGTGACAGGTTAATAAGAACATCCTATGACTTTTTCAGAATATCATTTTAATCTACTCGGTTTCGCTCTCTCGTGCAGATATCAATATCACGTGGTAGATAAAAATGATATTCCTCAAAATCATAGGATATCCTATAATTATCAGAGGAGTGGCACACAGATATATACAATGGGATTCCATAGGAGTGGGACCCACTTATTATATACACAACAGGATTTACAGGCAAAGGAACAGATAGTTCTCCAGAAAAGAAAATCCACCGCTTTATACTCTCTATGTGTACCAATCTTTTTTTTGGTACACAGAGAGTGGGAGGGGGGATTTTCTCAACTCTACTATCTATTCCGATGCATGCCTGTGAGGGGATTATTAAAACGTAAAATGTGATCTTTGGTGTAAAAGAAATGTCACTTTTGAACTGCAGTTACGCAAATGCGAATGACAATCACACTGGTGATCCACTCGATTACGCTGGTTAACCGTTTCGGTAACAAAATGTCGGAACATCGAAGGTATGATTTTTCTTTTTTCCTTATTTTACACATTGTAGGCAGAATTCCCACGACATTTTTATCACAAACGTGTATCAGTATCATATGTTTCAGAAAATGTACATATTTGCGAACAAAATTAGTTCAAAAGACAACAGAATCGTGGATTAATTTCTCACTTAAGTTTCATAAAGAGAAATGGAAAAACAGTTAAGATCTGCACTTTTAACCCAAACCATTTATGTAACTTAAGTGAGGAATTAAATCGACGATTCTGTTGTCATCTGAGCTTTTTTTTCGCAAACATGTACATTTTCTAAAACATATGATACTGAGATACGTTTGTGAGAAAAAACGTCGTGGGGATTCTGCCTACAACTCGTGAAATAAGGAAAAAAGAAAAATCGTACGTACCGTTTCGGTAACCAGTGTAATCGAGCGGATCACCAGTGAATCACATATGTCAAAGACAATCTCAGCAGTGAAATAAAACCACATACATCTTAAAGTAAAACTACTGCTGTTAAAACAATTCACAACTATTAAAAGCAATACATCTTTGAAATACAATTACAGCTGATTATGACAAACACAGCTGATGAATACATCTGAATCTGTAAAAGCAAGACAGCTGTGGGATGTGTGCTTAGCTTTAATCATGATGTAGCAATTTTTAAGACAAAACAATTTATTGAAGAAAACAAGACAATCAGAGATTAAAAAACATTAGAGAACTTTTTGTTGATTTATTCCATCTCACATTTTCTTCTTTATTTAACAGTGCATCATTTAGCACTTATTAATTCATTATTGTACCTTGATCAGTGATTCAGTGTGATATCGCACACATTATTGCACTTGATCAATGATTCAATGTGATATTGCAGACATTATTGCACACATTATTGTACTTGATCAATGATTCAATGTGATATTGCAGACATAATTGCACACATTATTGTACTTGATCAGTGATTCAGTGTGATATCGCACACATTATTGTACTTGATCAGTGATTCAGTATGATATTGCACACATTATTGTACTTGATCAGTGATTCAGTGCACAATTAAGCACTTTTTGTACTTGATCAGTGGTTCAGTGTGATATCGCACACATTATTGTACTTGATCAGTGATTCAGTGTGATATCGCACACATTATTGTACTTGATCAGTGATTCAGTGTGATATCGCACACATTATTGTACTTGATCAGTGATTCAGTGTGATATTGCAGACATTATTGCACACATTATTGTACTTGATCAGTGATTCAGTGTGATATCGCAGACATTATTGCACACATTATTGTACTTGATCAGTGATTCAGTGTGATATCGCACACATTATTGTACTTGATCAGTGATTCAGTGTGATATTGCACACATTATTATCCCATCGAACGAAGTTCGGAGGGATATAGGGAACGCCTCCGTCCGTCCGTCCGTACGTACGTCCGTCCGTCCGTACGTACATCCGTCCGTCCGTACGTACGTCCGTACGTACATCCGTCCGTCCGTCCGTCCGGGCAATAACTCAAATACCGCTGGCCCGATTTTGTTCATATTTTGTACACATATACCCTATGGGGGTAGAAGTTCTGCTCGAAAGCCGATTTTCAAAATGGCCGCTCATTTCAAAATGGCGGCCATTTTAGTGCCAAATTTACAGTAATTTAGGTGCAATATGTAAAACTGTAATAGCAATATGTTTTAGATGTAAAAAAATTAATAAAGCTAGAAATGTAGATATTAAAGAAGCACATGGCAGCCATCTTGAAAAATGGCGGCCTTTACTCGTTATTTTACGATTTTTGCTGTAACTCGAAAAGTAGTGGAGCGATTTTGTTCATATTTGGTATGTGAATACTATAAACATTGCACACTGTCTAAAGACACTTTTGGTATAAAGTGGCCATTTTAAAAAATGACCGCCATTTTGAAAAATGGCCGCCATTTTAACCTATTTTACTATAACTCGAAAAGTAGTGAAGCGATTTTGTTCATATTTGGTATGTGAATACTATAAGGATGGCACACTGTCTAATGACACTTTTGGTAGAAGGCGGCCATTTTTCAAAATGGCCGCCATTTTAACGTATTTTACTATAACTCGAAAAGTAGTGGAGCGATTTTGTTCATATTTGGTATATGAATACTATAAGTATGGCAAATGGTCTAATGACACTATTGGTAGAAGGCGGCCATTTTGAAAAATGCCTGCCATTTTTGCTATATACTTTGTTTGTAAAAATGCCATCCATGGCTGTTCGATGGGATTCGCTACGCTTTGGCGTTGCCGTTGTTCTGGTTGTACTTGATCAGTGTTTCATTGTGATACTGCACACCTCATTGTACTTGATCAGTGATATTATGATATTGTATACATTATTGCACTTAATTAGTTATTCAGGGTGATATTGGGCACATTATTGTACTTGATCAATAATTCAGCGTGATATCGCACACATTATTGTACTTGATCAGTGATTCAGTGTGATATCGCACACATTATTGTACTTGATCAGTGATTCAGTGTTATATTGCACACATTATTGTACTTGATCAGTGATTCAGTGTACAATTTGTACTTTTTGTACTTGATCAGTGGTTCAGTGTGATACTGCACACCTCATTGTACTTGATCAGTGATATTATGATATTGTACACATTATTGTACTTGATCAGTGATTCAGTGTGATATCGCACACATTATTGTACTTGATCAGTGATTCAGTGTGATATTGTAGACATTATTGCACACATTATTGTACTTGATCAGTGATTCTGTGTGATATCACACACATTATTGTACTTAATCAGTGATTCAGTGTGATATTGCACACATTATTGTACTTGATCAGTGTTTCATTGTGATACTGCACACCTCATTGTACTTGATCAGTGATATTATGATATTGTACACATTATTGCACTTGATTAGTTATTCAGGGTGATATTGTGCACATTATTGTACTTGATCAATAATTCAGCGTGATATCGCACACATTATTGTACTTGATCAGTGATTCAGTGTGATATCGCACACATTATTGTACTTGATCAGTGATTCAGTGTGATATTGCACACATTATTGTACTTGATCAGTGATTCAGTGTGATATCGCACACATTATTGTACTTGATCAGTGATTCAATGTGATATCGCACACATTATTGTTCTTGATCAGTGATTCAGTGTTATATTGCACACATTATTGTACTTGATCAGTGATTCAGTATACAATTTGTACTTTTTGTACTTGATCAGTGGTTCAGTGTGATACTGCACACCTCATTGTACTTGATCAGTGATATTATGATATTGTACACATTATTGTACTTGATCAATGATTCAGTATGATATTGTGCACATTATTGCACGTGATTCAGTGTGATATTGTGCACGTTTTTGTACTTGATCAGTTATAGTTTGGTATTGTAGACATTATTGTACTTGATCAGTGATTCAGTGTGATAATGTGCACATTATTGTACTTGATCAATGATTCAGTATGATATTGTACACATTATTGTACTTGATCAGTGTGATATTGTGCACATTTTTGTCCGTGATCAGTTATAGTTTGGTATTGTACACATTATTGTACTTGATCAGTGATTCAGTGTGATATTGTGCACATTTTTGTACGTGATCAGTTATAGTTTGGTATTGCACACATTATTGTACTTGATCAGTCATTCAGTGTGATATTGTGCACATTATTATTCTTGATCAGTGATATTGTGATACTGATATATACTGAAAAAACATCAACTATGTGTCTGGTCTCTATCCATGTTTTTATTACCTTATTGCTAGGTTATTTCACTCTATGTTATAATTTAATATTATTATCTCCAAAATGGAGGTGAAGTAAATATAAAAATAATGAAAACGCTCGTATTATTGTGCTTGATCAGTGATTCAGTGTGATATTGCACAAATTATTACAGATATTAATAGATTAATGATAGTGCGATATAATAGATATATGTATTGATACTAAAGCCTCTGTAGACATTAGTATAGGTTTTAGTAAATATTGATGATGATCAAAATGTATATACATGTACTTTCATGTAATATTGCAATCTAACTGAAATATGCCAGACTGGCTAAAAACTAAATATGTGACGTAAATGTCAGTCCTGGGGTATCTTTACCTCCTTCACATAAATAAGGATATATCAACATGCATTACATATTTTGTCTTCAAATCTTCAAAATAGATAGATAATAGAATGATGTATCACTGGTAAGAAAATCGAAGGAATTGGATGAT